CAGAGTCATCACTAATAAATGGTATTAGCTATTCAGTTATAATCATCCATGGAACATCTCGGTGTATTGAAATGCAAAATTAGACTGATAATATTTAATCTCTGAAATGTTTAGCAGGATGTCATTTGCCACTGCTGATCGGTTATTCATAGGAGAATGCTATTTTAACAAACGTAATAAATCTTTCAGAAAAAAAAAAAACAATTTTATTACTTGGCAAAAGTATTCAAACATTTCCAAGTTACTGTCATTTATCTCAAGAATTGATCTGACTATTAATTCCAAAAACTTTTCCCCATCCTTTTATTTGCTGATCTTTCTGTTTCATCGAACAATGAATTTATTCAAAAGAACTGTCTGTTTCTTTCACTTAATATCAAGATTTTTACCTTTTGTAAATCTCTATTTTTACCTTTAGAAACAACAGTAACTCTTATTGTGGAATATATGAATTACCTAAAACTACTCCCTTTTAAGAGGAAATTTTAAGTAGTTATGTAGTCCAAAAAACAAAATAAGCAATTTCATTAACAGACATCAACTTTGATCTTCTGCTCAAATTTCCTTACTATAATAAAAACATCTGATGGAACAATATTTCATTTAAAAAAGACTAAAATGAAGAAATAAAAAAAATTCAAAGAATGTTTTCTAGCTGATATTGCATGGAAATATATATTTTAAATCAACAAAACATACTCACTACACGAAATCATACTTAAAATTAAATATTATGAAATGGTAGAAAGAAATCAACTAATCTGTGAAACCTACAAAGATCTGTGAAAATTAAAAAAAAAGAAAAACGATACATACTGCTATTACAAATAAATCAATGCTAATAGTGAAGTTGATAAAATGTATACAAACGTTCAGCATAATTTCGGAAGTTACAATCAAGAATCCAGACAATATTACAAATTAATTTCTGAAAAGAAAAAAAATTTAATAAAACGATAACTATAAAATTCCGCATATAATCAACAATTTTATCATTCAGCAAAAATAATTAGGCATTGACGTAATGTTGAATTCACTGTTTAACCTTTCACTTCATACAATATCAACAATATGATAGTTTCAGAAAAAAAATCTAATCATCTAATAATGGTGATTACTTACAATTGTCATTGCAAAAACAAAAAAAACAGATCAATGCAAGGAAAATTTAACTAAGAAAATTTATTGGAAACGGAAGTGTAAAATATTGAAATCAATCACATTTTGAAAATTCATTGGCTGTCAGCAACCATTTAAATAAAGCGACAACAAATGGAATTATTTTTTCAGAAATTTTCTCCTTTTTTTAAAAGGAGAAAATTAACAAAAAGATTATGTGAGTCATAAATGCTTACAAATCATCAACTTTTTGGTTAAATGCAAAATTTGAACTTTTTCAAACACTCTTTCCTTTAGAAGTTTTACTTCTTGCTGCTCCACTTTTACTTTGAGCTGACATATTACTTCGAATTACTGTTTTTTTCCGAATTGCTGCTCTCATCTCAGATCGCTTCTTTCGTTTTTTTCTTCTATATTGCAACTGTCCCATCATTTTCTCTATTTCTTTTGCCGTAAATATTCCATTGCCATGTTTACTAAAGAGCCAAATTTAGTTTTGTAAGAGATGTAGCATTAGCTACAAACAAAACACATACCTTCTGTACATTTGCTTCACTATTTGACTATGATTAAGACCGAGTTCATGCTCCTCATAAAAGCCGAAGAACCACAGATCCAACAATCCGGGAAATTTATCCAAAAATGTGCAGATTCCATTTTCAGGAGTAAGACTGACCGAGAGAATTTTCGAAAAAATTATTTTTTGCACCTTAAAAAATTCACATAAGAAATTAAATGCAAAATATTTCAAACTTTGTCTACAAATTAAACTGCATATAATCATATTTCTTCAAAAAATAAAAAAAACTCCTGATAAGAACTGATTACAATTGCAAATTGGTAAATATAATAATTGAGAGTGAAATTCGTTAAAAAAATTCCGTCAAAAAACTTACTCATATTACATTCCTGTCTTTTAATTTTAATAAAATATGAATTTATAATGCTAAAAATTACAAATATAAAAAGATTATATACTCCACTTACGCTATTCTATCTTAATTCTTTTTGTAATACTAATACTACAAAACAACAAACGTTGCTTCCCCAATTTTTTTTCTCACTGTCTAACTTACATTTTCACCATAAGTCAATTCATTCAATGCTATGAAGAGCCCATCCGTAAGATCCATTTTATCTACGTGTATAAAACCATTTATTATGTCATGCCTAAAAAAGTAACGTAGATGAAGCGAACTTTACTATACTTTTATTTCTATGAAATTATATACGAAGTAAAGTTATCAGTCTTCCCCAAAATTGGTTAACGGAGTTTGCTCATTAGCCAATTTTGGGGAAGACTGATGCTGATATAACATGATCCAGTATAACAATTTCATCGGATTTAAGCAATCCTAAAACAGAATTACATTAGCTTACCTCAAAAACGATGGCATATCAGTTAAATCCAAACAAGCACATGGAGGTTCGAAAGCACCTGTACCATAGCGATAAACGATTGTAAAGTCGCCCAACGGTCCCACATTTTTTGACTAAAATTAAGAGAAAACTCTATTCAGGTTGCTCATTACCCTTCCAGAGAGGTGCCAAATTTAAAATGCTATAAATCACATGAGACTCTTTGAAACACTAACCAAAGCCACTTACCCGAATCCGAAGTCCAGAAACTTGATATCGTGGTAATGTCTTCGCATTATTTTCCAATACATCGTTAAATCGTCTGCATATCAGTTTCAGCCGATACATCTTATGAATGCTTACGTTTGGATTATTCTAAGAGTGAATTTATATCACCATAATACAATTAATATCAAACTCATATATTATAATTCTTAAAAATATAGTTGTATAGTTATTTGTAAAGATATTTTTGATGCTAACTCTTAAACAATAAAATTTCATCATT